AAAAGAAATAGGGTTCTATTCTGACCTTAACCCCACCTCCATTCTAATCTCCACATAGCTAGATCGACTCACCGCGGCGAGATAGGAAGATCCATATGTACTTTCCTATGTGGGAAACCAATATTTCGTGGTGTTACATAATTTTTGCCCAATCAAACTTATAATACCCCCAACACAAAGAGTTGTAGGGTATACAAATGGTGTAGTGGACCCTATTTTCCATTTTCTAACCTGAGCAAAATCGGATTATCATTTCTCTTTCTGTGCAGTAAAATATATTTTTTGAAAATTTTAAACTTTTGTGGGAGATAGGTCGACTCCAAAGCCCGTTATTTCGATGGGGAACGTTTCGGCCGTATCAAATGATATGTTCCGTTTGCAGCCATATAGCTGAGGGTAAAAAAATAATACACCATTTGCCCTCAAAGTCCTTAAAAGAATTATTGGTACCAAAAATCCATGATAAAAATTGGGATTTACTTTTTTTGTTCCTTACTCCTACCCACCTTAGTGTACGTCCATGAATCTCTGATTTATCCAACCATGCATACAGTTAGCCAAAAGTAAATATTCCATCCATGTGAGAGCAAGCTTTTTAACATGTAACACATCTTGGGATATCAGTTATGCACGAATATCCTTAGCATGCAAGTGTGTGTGTTATGGACACACACACACGCACACACCTATTCTTACATAAATACGAATTGCTGTTGCACTATACAAATATAGAGAACAAACCCCGTTCGGTGTTTTTTTTTTTTTTTTTTTTCATTGTCAGTATATTGCCCGATATTTGGTCAGCCATGGTTACAAACGTGTGTACGTGATTTGTGATTTTCGGTCTTTTCCCTTGCCCTCTTTGTTTGTTATGCGTCCTGTTTTTTGTTTTTTTTTTTTTCCACACTATTTTTCCCTCTGTTTCCATTTTCTTCGTTCTGCCTTTCCGGGCTATTTCTTTGACGATGTTGCAATCTCTTTGGAGGTTTTTTTCCGGTAGACTTTTTTTGGCAGGTTTTGTTGCAAACACCTTCACTTAGGATCGGGAGTTTTTTTTGGGGGGGGTACCACAATGGTCCCGTTTGCCTTTTGCCTGGTTAAAGGTAAGCCGGACAACCAGCCTGCCTGTACAACGTAACAGTTGTCAGGTTATTTAAATGTGAACAATATTTTTGCTTCATTTCCGTTTCCTGCCACAAACACACATCCTCAACAACAGTTGTTGGCCCTGTCCGTATGTGTGTATGTTTATGTGTGGGTGTATGTGTGCACTTTTTCGGCAGCAAAGTCATGCTTTATGGCAAGGAGATGATGCCAACATTTGGTGATGGACACTTTGTGCTGAGTACCAAAAAATCGAAAACCAAATACCAGACACTCACGAACACACACAGACACACACACACGCGGTATTGGCAACACATTTTCCAGGAACACCATCCATGATTTTTTTTTTTTTTGAAGAACATTTTTGTTGCAAAATTTACACTTAAATATATGACATTATGGAAGGACAAGTGTGCCAAAGTAAAAAAAAACAACCAAAAAATGACAAAATGTGAAAACATCAGAGAAAGGAGTGAAACGCCCGGACGGACCCCCGGAATAGTGGTAAACATCACCATCATCATCCGCCGTGAAAAAGGCAACATCATAAATAAATGAAAAGTTAATTTGGAAAAAATCTCATGCCATTGTCATTGTGTTGCACACACGTGTGCAAACACAGGCAGAACAGACAGACACACTCAGTCAGTCCTTCAGTCACTCAGTCAGTTACCAAAAAATCTGTACCGAAAACAGAGATTACATTCTGCAAAAGGATATCACATTCAGAAGGCATTTTGTTTTTTGCTCGTCCTCCTCCTCCTCCTCCTGACATATGTTTGAGTTTTAAAGTAGAATATTAAATAACCTTGGTTCCGATTTCACAGGAAATATTTAATAGAGAACAAAGAAGAAGATGGAATTAATTGGTATGAAATGTTGAAGGGGGGGGGGGGTGGGGTTGCTGGAAAGGAAGTTATTTGTTAATGCATTCCTTAAGTGGTAGAGAGGACATATTGTGCTCGTGAAAATTAGAAGGAAAGTTAAAACGTATTCCTTAATTTGATGACAGATATGTATCCTGAGCATATGACCCATTAAGCATCTAGCGTATGGAGAATTTAAGGTGAAAATTGTTCAATATTTCTTGATCGGCAGGTCTTTTACTTTTAAAAATGGGCTATATAAAGAGTGAGATGAAAAGATCTGCAACCAATTTGAGACTGCTGTCATTTCTATGCCACTCGTCCGACAGCTGTTAAAATTATTCCAGTGATAGCTCATTATATTGTTTACAAGCGTACAAGAGCATATTGGTGAGAATTTTCCAGGAAAAAAGTTATTCGTGATGGAATTCAATCGTGATAATGTGATTTCTTTATATTTGGCTGGAAAAACACAAGTGGCTATCGTCGGAGTACTCCAGCATTTAAATGTGAATAAATCTTTTGTGTCTCGTATCATCGCTCGTTACTGTGATACTGCGTAGCGTAGCTCGACCTCAAGGAAGTGGAAGGAAGAAAACAGCAACATCAGCAGAAATGGTTCGAAAAGTAAGCAAGCGACTTGATCGAAACCCGTGTCGCAGTGGCCGAAAAATGGCTCGTGAGCTGAACATATCGCAATATTCCAGGAAAATATTGAAAAATGTGCTCGGGGTCATTGAGCCATTGAAACTCCAAAAAGTGCAAGAAATTACACCGCAACTGAAAGAAAATAGACTAAAAGGAGCTACAGTGTTGCTTCGCTTGGCCCAAAATGGTGAACTGCCGAATTTGGTTTTCTCGGATGAGAAAACATTCGTTGCCCAGCAGTTTGTAAAAAAATTGATCGTGTTTACTTTCCAGAGAGGTAAGCTGAAAATGTGCACCTTCGGTTGGCCACCAGAACTCAAGCGCCGGCCATGGTGTTGGTGTGGGCCGCCATAACAGCCAATGGTCGCTCTCCGCTCGTATTAATCGACCGTGGCATCAGAATAAATGCCGAATATTATGGCGAAAATATTCTGGAAGGTACCCAAACATTTTTTCCGCAGACCTTGGACATTCCAACAGGACTGAGCATATCGCACTCAGCACGCGCCACTCAAAAATGGTTACAAAATGAGGTTTCTCGCTTCATTCCCATGGCACAATGGCCACCAAAATCTCCGGATACCAATCCTTTGGTCTATTGTGTCTGGAGTAATTTGGAAAGGAAGGTTGGCACTAAAAAATACCAAAGTGTCGATCACCTCAAGTAAGCACTTTGCCGGGAATGGGCCAAAATTTGGTTTTTTACAGAAAGGGGACCGGCCCTGTTCTTCTATCGAGAGAGAACCACCTTTGGTGTTCAATTGAAATAATATGTTTTAAGGACTAATAGTGACTTAGGCGTGGATTTTTTAAAGAAAAATGTTCAAGGACTATCAGGGACATGACCTGCATTCCTTTTCAGAATATTTTTTAAGGACTAAGTGGGACATAAGCGTGGATTTTTTAAAGAATATTTTTAAAGGATTTACATGGACATATGCGTGGTTTTTTTTAAGAATATTTTGCACCTTCGGTTGGCTACCAGAAATCGAGCGCCGGCCATGGTGATGGTGTGAGCCGCCATAACAGCCGATGATCACTCTCCGCTCGTATTAATCGACCGTGGCATCAGAATAAATGAAATATTGTGGAGGGTGTATTACAGCCTTGGACAGGAAAAATTTTGGCCGCACACCTTGGACTTTCCCGTTTCATTTCCTCGCTTCATTTCCAGCGCACAATGGCCACCAAAATCTCCGTACAACAATCCGTTGGACTATTGCGTCTGGAGCATTTTGGAAAGCAAGGTTGACACTAAAAAATACCAAAGTGTCGATCAGCAAGCGCTACGCCGGGAATGTGCCTTAGAGCAACATTCGGGAAGCGTGTGATGGTTTCATTGGCCGTTGAAGGCCATATTTCATGTCAAAGGTGATCAATTCGAACAAATCTGAACTTATTCTAAAATTTAATGATATTTCCGACATTTTTTTATTTTATTCAATAAAATTAAAAAAATGTAAAAATTATGGCGTTTGACTTTGTTGCAGTTATTTTTAGCTCACTCTTTATATCCTCAGCCCATGACCTATTAAGCACTTAACGTGTGGAAAACCGAAGATATTTTTATGAGGACTTGGAAAAAATGAAAGAGAACAATAATTGAATGCTTAGGTCTGAAAACTGAAAAATTTTCAATATTTCATGATTTTTGCTACTGAAAATGGGAGCTTTGTTTATGTTAAGCTCCCATATAAGTGTACCTCCCTATATTCCGTATTTTAATGATTTTAGCGACATTATTCCCCTGAATTGCTTAAATTTTCATATTTGAAGTTCCTAGTGGGTACTACAGTCTAAGACAGAAAATTGTCTTTGCATGTTCAGGTCTTCGTATAGCCCCCATATATCGGTGCTTCCCTATATTCGGTATTTTGATGATTTTAGTTTCAACATTCACCGGAATTGTTTCAAATTTCGTATTTGCACTTCGTAACAGGTACTAATTTTGTATTAGAAGTTCCTAATAGGTACTACGGCCTGTGACAGAAAATTGCCTATGCAGGTCCACGTCTTCGTATAGACCCCAAAATAAAGGTAACTCCCTATATTCTGTATTTTTTTTTAGAATTCAACAGCATTTTTAACGGATGCTACTTTTTTTGGAGAATTCCTAAATTCGTTCCAAATGGTGGAGGCCGAACTTAGTGCTTTTTAATTTGTTAGTACCCAAAATGCCCAATTTGTTCGGTTTGACAAAATTTTATAATCAAAAGTTTTTTCATCGTCCCATGTCTTCAGACTTAAAAACTGCAATCTAGTATCTGAAATGTTGAAATACCGCTTTACAACACAATTTTATTTTCTTTTTTGTCATTTGTCTTATTATTGACAAAATTCCTTGAATTTATTCAAATATTTTTTTTTTTTTTTCAAAAAAACAATATTACAAAAATGTAAGATTTTCAAATAAATAATTCCTCTGCTTTCAAAAAACATTTCGCCAACCAATTTTCCCTCTTCCAGGTGCCTACTGAGCAAACCATTGCGTGGAAAATTTGGAAAGGCCTTCATAGATTGCCTGAAAACTCAACTTTGTCCGAGCGGAAAACAAGCCACAGGCTCCGGAAGCTCCATACGAATGAAAATTATCCCAGCTTCAGCACGCACGGCCAAGACATATCAACAGAAAAACGAAGATCTGAAACGGGTACTCTCACCCCATCTGACGATCTATAAACCGCAATTAACATCGATGATGTCGATCTCGTTGCGAATGACCGGCTTTGCTTTGGGCCTTATGACATGGACGGTGGGACTGACTTCCCTATTGTCCGATCATAATGTGGATTATTTTGTTGAGCAGTTGAAAGCTTTGCAACTTGGCGAATATTTTTGGACCGCTGCTAGAACTGTCATGGTTTTTCCGTTGTGCTTTCATTTTGTTGCCGGCATACGTCATTTGTATTTCGATACAGCAAAGCTAATGAAAATTAAGCAATTCTATCGCACGGGCTATTTGGCAATGGGGTTATCTTGTCTCTTGACTTTGGCCTTGGGAATGTGGAATCAATTGTATCCGGTGAGAGAGGATGAAGTTGTTGAAGGATAATTGTTAATGATTTGTGTTACAAAATAAATAAAAAAAAATGTTTGGAGAAATTTACATTAATTTTAAAGTCCAGATTTTTATTTCAGGTTTTGGTGCACAAATAAAATGAAAGGATATTATTCGGTAAAGCGTAAAGAAGCCCTTAGTGGAAGCAAATAACAATAGAATATTGTTCAGTAAATGTTTAGAAAAATATAAAAATTTACTATTTCGAAGGGGACATGTAGTGAGAGAAGGAGAAGTCATTTTTAAGGCGTTTAAATGATAGGAGAACTTATTCAGTCTTGCTATATGTCCACTGCATAAAATTTAGTAAAAGTCTGATAGAGATGAGACGTTTTCCAGGTGCTCATGGACAGAAGACCTACAGTTCCCCTATAGACAGAATATCCCTAATGACCTATCTACAGACTTTATCCCGTTCTTTTATGGGCGTAAGGCCTTTCAAGGTTCTGCGGATGGATTGTTGTCCCCCAGTTCTAAAGGTCTTCTATGAAACTTCTTTAGGTCAACTGCGGACAGCCGACCTAGAATTTTCATTTGGTTCTCCATATAAATAACTTCTAGTCGTCCATATGACGACGACTTTGATAGGAAGACTAAAAGATCCTCTATAAGAAGGACTAACAGAAACATAGGCGTGGATTTTTTAAAGAATATTTTTCAAAGACTAACAGGGACATAGGCGTGGATTCTTTTAAAGATTTTTTTATGGACTAACAGGGACATAGGCATGGATTTTTTGAATAATATTTTTCAAGAACTGACAGGGATATAGGCGTGGATTTTTTTTAAAGAATATTTTTCAAGGACTTACACAGCTTGGATTTTTTTAAAGAATATTTTTGAAGGACTAACAGAAACATAGGCGTGGATGTTGTAAAAAATATTTTTCAAGGACTTACACAGCTTGGATTTTTTTAAAGAATATTTTTGAAGGACTAACAGAAACATAGGCGTGGATGTTGTAAAAAATATTTTTCAAGGACTATCAAGGACATAGTGTTGGATTTTTTTAAAGAACATTTTTCAAGGACTGACAGGGACACAGGCGTGGATTTTTTAAAGAACATTTTTCAAGGACTGATTGGCGTGGTTTTTTTTTTTAAATATTTTTCAAGGACTGATAGGCGTGGTTTTTTTTAAAAAATATTTTTCAAGGACTAACAGAACATAGGCAGGCATTTTTTTAAAGAATATTTTTCAATGACTATCAAGGACGTAGGGGTGGATTTTTTTAAAGATTTTTTTTTCAAGGACTAACAGGAACATAGGCGTGGATTTTTTTAAAGAATATTTATCAAAGACTGACAGGGGCATAGGTCGTGGATTTTTTTAAAGAATATTTTTCAAGGACTGACAGGGACATAGGCGTGGATTTTTTTGGTAGTGGATTTTTTTAAAGAATATTTATCAAAGACTGACAGGGGCATAGGTCGTGGATTTTTTTAAAGAATATTTTTCAAGGACTGACAAGGACATAGGCGTGGATTTTTTTGGTAGTGGATTTTTTTAAAGAATATTTTTCAAGGACTGACAGGGGCATAGGTCGCGGATTTTTTTTGGTCGTGGATTTTTTTAAAGAATATTTTTCAAGGACTGACAGGGACATAGGCGTGGATTTTTTTGGTCGTGGATTTTTTAAAGAATATTTTTCAAGGACTGACAGGGGCATAGGTCGCGGATTTTTTTTTTGGTCGTGGATTTTTTTAAAGAATATTTTTCAAGGACTGACAGGGGCATAGGTCGCGGATTTTTTTTTGGTCGTGGATTTTTTGAAAGAATATTTTTTAAGGACCTTCAGGGACATGGGCGTGTATTTTTTAAGGAATATTTTTCAAGGACTGGCAGGGGCATAGGCGTGTATTTTTTAAGGAATATTTTTCAAGGACTACAGGGACATAGGCGTGGATTTTTTTAAAGAATATTTTTAAAGGACCTACAGGGAAATAACCGTGTATTTTTTAAAGAATATTTTTCAAGGACTAACAGCGACATAGGCCTGGATTTGTTAAAGAATATTTTTGAAGGACTGACAGGGACGTAGGCGTGGATTTTTTTAAAGAATATTTTTAAAGGACCTACAGGTTATATAGGCGTGTATTTTTTAAAGAATATTTTTCAAGGACTAACAGCGACATAGGCCGGGATTTGTTAAAGAATATTTTTGAAGGACTGGCAGGGACGTAGGCGTGGATTTTTTTAAAGAATATTTTTGAAGGACTAGCAGGGACGTAATCGTGGATTTTCTTTAAAGAATATTTTTAAAGGACTGGCAGGGACGTAATCGTGAATTTTCTTTAAAAAATATTTTTGAAGGACTGGCAGGGCCATAGGCGTGAATTTTTTAAAGAATAGTTTTCAAGGATTAATAGGACATAGGCCTGGATTTCTTTGAGAATATTTTTCAAGGACTAACTGGGACATAGGCCTGGATTTCTTTAAGAATATTTTTCAAGGACTAACATGGACATAGGCCTGGATTTCTTTAAGAATATTTTTCAAGGACGAACTGGGACATAGACGTGTATTTTTTAAAAAATATTTTTAACGGACTTACACAGCGTGGATTTTTTAAAGAATAGTTTAGGATTTAATGAATTTTTTTAAAGAATATTTTTGAAGGACTTACAGAAACATGTTTTTGTAAAAAATATTTTTCAAGGACTAACAGGTAAATAGGCCTGGATTTTTTAAAGAATTTTTTTCAATGACTAACAGGGACATAGGTCTGGAATTTTTAAAGAATATTTTTCAAGGACTGGCAGAGACATAGGCGTAGATTTTTTTAAAAATATTTTTCAAGGACTATCAGGGATTTTTTTAATAAATATTTTTTAAGGACTTACAGGGAGATAGGCGTGGATTTTTTTTAAATATTTTTCAAGGATTATCAGGGATTTTTTAATAAATATTTTTAAAGGACTTACAGGGAGATAGACGTGGATTTTTAAAATATTTTTCAAGGATTATCAGAGATTTTTTAATTAATATTTTTAAAGGACTTACAGGGAGATAGACGTGGATTTAAAAAAAAAAATATTTTTAAAGGATTTACTCTGCGTTCTCTCTAAGAGGAAGACAACTTGATATTCTATAAGAAGACTACCTGGACTTCTATAGAAATGCCAATGGGGCTTCTATAGGAACATACTTTTTTGTTGTAGGAACGATATCTTAGAATTAGTTTGGTGACCTTCAAAATGTTCTCCTTCGACCTACGCCCTTTTCTACACACATTCTCTTTAGCAGATCTTTTAAAAATTATATTTCAAACTTCTTATTTTCATAAAAGTTACAATAACTCCATACCAGACTAGCATCAAACCATATTCGAAAAATGGCATATTTATGTTTTAAGGATGACTTTTTGACTGTCAGATGAATTCATTGGAATTTTCAATGTTTTCCGAAAAACAGCAGCCAAATAAATTGGTTTTTTTGGCTTGTTCTTGCTATTTCTTTTCTTTTTTTTGGTATAATACAAATAATAACAAACGAATATGGATATGAGTTGTCTTGTCGAATTATGGTTGTTACATTGACGAAGTACACATACACAGAGCTACATGAGTGTGGGTTCATAGATCAGAAATGCTAACACCTATATAACGAAGCCACATAACTTTCACCTCATACACATTCCAATTCGTAGGTTTTATCCATTTAGGGGCCTTCATATACATACGTACGTATATATAAACAAACAGTAATATGTCTGTGAAATATTAGATATTTATGTATATATGTATTGGTGTACATATTTACCTATCCTTGCGTGTGATTTGAGAGTGTGTGTTTGTGTGTGTGGGGGGTTAATATTATGTCGGGCAAAAATAAATAAAAATCTTGTAAACGCAAATATTTGCAATTGAAGAAGCGAAAACAAAAAAAAGAACAAAAATATTACAGATGGAAATAAGGTTTTTAGAACAAATAAACAATTTTATTATTATTTTGTTGTGGCTGGTGTTTTTTGCTCCTATATTAACATATTTGTTTTATTCGTGCTATGCTATGTAAATCTGCTGGCTAATAAAGGGTGGAAAAGTTAACAACAATTTTGTTACATGTGCCTGGGTTAACTGACATATTATTGTCATTGCTTGCGCTGAAATATGAGGTCCGATGGATGAACAACATTTGGGTGGGAGATAGGAGAATATTCACAACACAAGGAGAGAATACCGTCAATGGGGCATATGAATTTAGTTGTTTTACCCTGCAACACAATATTTTGGGGGTATTATAAGTCTGAGTGGGCCAACAAGTTTGTAACACCTCAAAATATTGATCCTTGATCCACGGCGAAATCAAAAATGCACCTAAAGGTCGCTTCGACCGTTACATTGATGCTGATAGCCAAGATATCGGACATATAGCAAAATATGTAAAATCTATATAAATAAAAGTGTAGTGAAATTACTTACTGTCTGACTGAACCAGAATCAACGTTCAGAGGAAACGGCTGAAGCTAGAAACTTGAAATTTTGCACGAAGAACAATCTTGGTGGGTAATGGCGTTAAAAGTCTGAGATTTTAGAAATTCGTGTTAAAAGGGTAGGAAAAGTATAAAAATCCACTAAAAGTTTAATACTTTGCGTTGGACAACAGGAATGAGCTAGTATTCTTGAATTTGATATGAAAGTCACCGATAGAGTGCAGGATAGATGTACCAAAGGGTTTTTGGAAATTCGAATTTTTAGGTTACGAAAAGTTCTAAAATGTCAATAAAATTCTAAAATAAATTTGAAATAGTTTCGATCATGGTAGAATTACAAGGTAACCCTTTCAGGCCAGCTCATGGTAGAATTACAAGGTAACCCTTTCAGGCCAGCTGGTATCAATTTGATATGTCAAAAAATTGTTGTAATTTGAATTCGCCTTCATTTACACATAAGAAAATTGTTGCATGATTTCAAACTTTAACAATGCTATTGATAGAAAATAGAGATTTTACGTTTTTATAGAGTATGAGGGAAAAAGTATATATTCAACATATGGTAGGCATAGGTAATATGGAGATCTAAAATTCGTGGATATTTGAAATAAGTGAAGCAGCGAATC